CAGACGACATGTCCATCCTGGGCCTCCTGCAGTGCCACAATGATGCCACCCGAAGGTTGCAGGAACAGCAACTCATATTCCGCTTGGGAACCCTGCAGCCCAATGGTATCAATGTGGATTTCACAAGTTTCAAAATCTCCCCTCCCCCCACCGCATCCCAAAACCAGTCCAGCTCGTCCCTGCCTCCCTAACCTGTTCTTCCTCCCACCTATCCCCTCCTCCCACCTCAAGCCGCACCTCCATCTCCTACCGACCAACCTCATCCCGCCCCGTTGACCTGTCCGTCCTCCCTGGACTGACCTATCCCCTTCCTAACTCCCTACCTACACTCACCTTTACTGGCTCCATCCCCGCCTCTTCGACCTGTTTGTTTCCTCTCCACCTATCCTCTCCTCTATCCCTCTTCTATCCGCCTCCCACTCTCTCCCTATTTATTTCAAAACCCCCTTCCCCTCCCCCTTTTCTGATGAAGGGTCTAGGCCCGAAACGTCAGCCTTTCTGCTCCTATGATGCTGCTTGGCCTGCTGTGTTCATCCAGCCCTGCACCTTGTTGTCTCTGTTCCTATACCGTACTGTTTTTTGTATAAACCATAAGGAACAGGAGTAGGCCATTCAGCCCCCAAGTCTGCTCCGCCATTCTCTGGGAGCCGACACTCCCCAGGGCAATTGCCCTGCCCTACCCCCACAACCATAAGGGGAGATTGGGCAGACGGTGTTGGTGGGGAGATGCAGCAGGAGCTGTTAGCTGTCAATCTTAGCGAACTGGCACATCGATTGGTCAGGGCATTGCCACAGGATTGGCTGTCTCTGTAGACTGTTCCTCATTTGAGAAATGTGTGACATATGAATGTATTCCATTTGGCTGCAGAGAGCAGCAAGGGTGCTGTGTATGCAGCTTGCAGCATGTTTCCCAGGGTAGTTCTGAACAAAGTCAGGATTTTCCATCAAATGCTGTCCAATCGCTCAATCCCATCTGATTTCTGACGCTGTTTGTTTCTGACCGTAGCACATGATAGTGGCTCCCACTCAGTGACGGCACTCCACTCTTTCCCTGTTTTAACACTTTTCGACCACGTTTGTGTCTGACCAACAGGAGCTGTCATCCAAGCGTGAGCGCATTGCCATCTTAGAGCAGGAGAAAGCTTCTCTGGTCAAACGGCTGATTGAGGCCCGAGGACAAGGCCAGCCAGCTAGCCCACCGCACCGTCCCTATCCACACTGGGGAAGTGAAGGCACACCATGAACATGAAGCTCTCCTGCAAACAGGACCACCCGAGTGACACCAGCCAAAGGACAGTGCATTCCAACGGGCTGGCCAGGAGTTTGCTCCATTCCGCTGCATTTTCAGTTCGAAAAAATAGGTGAAAGATTGAGCCACGATCAAGAACTAAACCATTGACCCCAAGCAATTTTCCCTCTTTTAGAGAGAACCAATAGCAAATGGATTGTTGACGTTACCTCACAACTTTTGACCTGAGGAACACCACAGCACTAATCCTTTCTGTCTATTCGTGAGCCCAATTATTTATTTCTGTATTTATATAAATTATTGTCAATATTTTTTGTCTGTCCCTGCTTTGTCACATCTAACATTTCACCCAAGGGACTATCCCCACCCACAGGATATGGCAGTTGGAGAGGAAAATTAATTTGTTATTGTCTTTATATCTTAATTAATATTATATATAAAAAAAATTTATCAACCCTCCTGAAAGATCAGGAGTTTCCAGGAACTGATGATTAAACACGCTTCAAATACTGGTGGGAGAGTTACAATCAAAGGAGCTTTAAAATCTTTTTATTTTTCAATTTTATTTGAACAGAAAGAAAGCTGAAGGAAAAATGTGCTTTCAATCATTCACTTTAGGTCCACACTGGTAATGTTACTCTCAGACAGGCAAACTGCATCTGTAATGTACCTCACAACTCCCCTCCTGACTCCCCAAAGCCTGTCCCACCATCTACAAGGCACAAGGCAGGAGTGTGATGGAATACCCCCCACTTGCCCCTGGATGGGGTACAGCTCCAACAACACTCAAGAAACTCGATACCATCCAGGACAAAGCAGCCCCCGCTTGATTGGCACCACATCCACAAACATCCCACTCCCTCCCCGACCGACGGTCAGTCGCAGCAGTGTGTACCATCTACAAGATGCACTGCAGAAACTCACCAAAGATCCTCAGGCAGCACCTTCCAAACCCACAACCACTTCCATCCAGAAGGACAAGGGGCAGCAGATACATGGGAACACCAGTCCCCTGCAAGTTCCCCTCCGAGCCCCTCCCCATCCTGACTTGGAAATATATCGCTGTTCCTTCAGCGTCGCTGGGTCAGAATCCTGGAATTCCTTCCCTAAGGGACATTGTGGGTCAACCCACAGCACATGGGCTGCAGCGGTTCAAGAAGGCAGCTCGCCCCCACCTTCTCAAGGGGGGCAACTAGGGACAGGGTAATAAATGCCGGGCCCAGCCAGTGACACCTACATCGCATGAATGTATGATAAACAAATTCCAGTCATTTCCAAGCACTTCACTACTAATGGAGTCCTTTTATTTACACACACACACACACAGACACCGTCCCCGCACACACGCACTCACACACACACACAGTCCCCCCACCACACACCCACAAACACACACACACACACACACACAGTCCCCGCACACACACACTCACACACACACACAGTCCCCCCACCACACACTCACACACACACACACACACACACACACAGAGATGATGAAACTTTGGATATTGGTTGAGGGTTAACTTTAAGATGGTACTGTAGGATTTTCCATGCACAGCAGAGATGGCAGATGGGAACTTAGTTTACTGCTTGATCATCAGACATACAAGTGATTGGAATGTAGAAAAGTTACAACACAGTAAGAGGCCATTCAGCCCATAGTCTCTGCACACCCCTTATTATTGTGCGCACCCCAAATAGGTCACCCTCGTCAGCCTCCTCTGCTCTAAAGGAAACCAAGCCCAGCCTATCCAATTTCTCCCTGTAGCTGTAGTGTTCATTAAAGGGTGTTAGTTATAGAGTCATACAGATATACAGGACGGAAACAGACCCTTTGGTCGAACCTGTCCATGCTGACCCAGATATCCTAAATTAATCCAGTTCCATTTGCCAGCATTTGGCCCATATCCCTCTAAATCCTTCCTATTCATGTCCCCATCCAGATGCCTTTTAAATGTTGTAATTGTACCAGCCTCCACCACTTCCTCTGGCAGCTCATTCCATACACGCACCACTCTCTGTGTAGAAAAAGTTGCCCCCTAGATCCCTTTTAAATCCTTCCCCTCTCACCTTAAACTGACGCCCCTCTTGTTTTGGACTCCCCTACCCTGGGGAAAAGACCTTGTCTATTTACCCTATCCATGCCCCTCATAAACCTCTATAAGGTCGCCCCTCAGCCTCCAACGCTCCAGGGAAAACAGTCCCAGCCTATTCAGCCTCTCCCTGTAGCTCAAACCCTCCAACCCCCAGCAACATCCCTGTAAATCTTTTCTGAACCCTTTCAAGTTTCACAACATCCTTCCTATAGCAGGGAGACCAGAATTGCACACAGCATTCCAAAAGTGGCCCAAACCAATATCCTGTACAGCCACAACATGACCCTCCCAACTCCTATACTCAATGCACTGACCAATAAAGGCAAGTGTACCAAACACCTTCTTCACTATCCTGTCTACCTGTGAATTCAAGTTTTCTTTGTTCAGCAACACTCCCGGAGTGATAGTGTCAAAGAGACATACAGCACATAAACAGACCCTTTGGTCCAGCCAGTCCATATGGACTATAATACCAAATAAAACTAGTCCCACCTGCCTGCTCCTGGCCCATATCCCTCCAAACCTTTCCGATTCATGTACTTATCCAAATGTCATTTAAATGTTGTAATTGTACCCACATCTATCACTTCCTCAGGAAGTTCATTCCACACACAAACCACTCTGTGTAAAAATTTGCCCTTCTGTCTTTTTTAAATCTCTCTCCTCTCACCATAAAAATATGTCCTCTCGTCTTGCAAACCCCAACCTAGAGAAAGGACACCTATCAATCACCTTATCTATACCCCTCGTCATTTTATAAACTTCTCTCAGGTTATCTCTCAACCTCCTACGGTCCAGAGAAACAACGTCCCAGCCTAACTCAAACCTTCCATACTCAACAACATTCTGGTAAAAGTCTTCTGAACCCTCTCCAGCTTAATAATATCCTCCCCATAACTGGGCGACCAGAACTGGGCACAAACCCTCCTTTATGTGTTTTTACAACAATTGCTGATAATTTTGTGGTTCCCATTATTGAGATTAATGGTCCATCAGTGGAAGTTCTGAGCAACTACTGAAGTGAGGCATCACCAGAGCAGCAGGTAAGCTTGTATTCCAGGTTTATTGAGTTATTTTCAATCTTACCAGTTGCCTTGGCCTGTTGGAGTATTGTGTACAATTCTGTAGGAAGGTCTGAACGCATGGGACGGAGTGTAGGTGAGATTGACGAGGATGATCCCACAAATGAGAAGCTTCAGTTTATCAATGTAGATGAAGATGGTTTGGGAGCTATTGTCACTAGCTGTCCCTTTCAGCAGTGGAATAAGCCTCTCAGTACAGTCCAAGGTCAGTGAGCTCTGTCAAACACTGCCTGGTCCATAACTACATCAGTGTCACAGCCGGCACTGAACCGAGTGCGGCACCCAGTAACCATTTCATAAACCAGCTCATCTGTTGCAGTGCAAAGGGGTAGTGTGGTTGCTGTTACTGATCAGACACTGGCCTTCCACACCCTCCCCACCTCCCTCCAACCCCTCCCCAGGACAGGGTAGGACAGTGAGTCACACACTGTCCTCACCTCCCCTCCCTCTGGGACTGGCTGGGACAGCGGGTCACACACTGTCCTTCC